CTAAACGATGTGACGGTCCTCTTACTACTGTCTCTTCATCAAACGTGATGCTTTCTCTATTTCCTCCAACATTGCCCACTGTGACTAATTAATTTTCCTTCCTTGTGTAGTTTACTTCAAGGTGAAACTTTATTAATACATTTTTTTTGTGTGTGTGATACAGCACAAAAAAGTATGTGGCTTAACACACTTAACACAGAGAATTACTATGACTATCCTTAATCCAAAAAAGACAATAGTCCTACTATGCTGTTTACATTAGAAATGAAAATCAATATTCCCCTAATATTTCTGTTTATATTCAGCTGTGTATACTCCACATGACGTTTATCATGTCAAAATATGTAAAAGTAAAACAAATGTCATTTGTTTGATTTTTTTAAAGTTTTCCTAAAGTTGGCTGACTTGATCGACCATGCAAACACAGCCCCGCCTCTTTAAAAAGGTTGGTGTTGTGATATTTATGCATATCGAAAAACCTGTTGATGTTCAAGTCTGCCCTCGTACTATTAAAGTTGGGTATGCTTTTCCTTGGCCTTTTCTTTTGGGCATGAATCTCGACGCCAGCCTTACAAACTGTTAGCTAGCTGATCTGTGTACAACTAATTAATGGTAATGCACAGAGGTGACCGTAAACAGGCAAGAAGCTGTGTGGCACAAACATTTATTCTGAATGTGCAACATGGTCTCACTCCGATGTCGTCAAAATCTGGTGCTTGGGCAGCGACTTCTGGCATCAGACACTGATGAAAAAAGCCATCCTTTAACGTTGGCATGATACATGGCCAGTTGCTGTTAAAGTTTAACGGTGCCCAGGGGGTCAGGGTGAAACGTGGTGGGACAAGAACAACTGTTAAGGTGGCGAAACTCTAGAGTTGGTGGGTGGGTCCAACAAACACCAACCTTCACCCAGGAGAGCAGTGTTCACATCCTGTAAAATTATAAAGCCAAACCCTGTTTTTTCTTCCTAAACCTAACCATGTGCTTTTGTTGCCTAAACCCAACCACCTGCATTCACTGTTGAAGGAAAAAAAAAAAGTCAATTTTGAAAGAAGACAATGCATGTAACAGGTAGAACTTCACAAAGAGTCCCAGAACATCAACAACCAAAGCACCCAGGGTGCCTTTCACATCTGGACATGGAAACGACCAAACGCCGATATGTGACAAGGTCAGAGTGAGAATGTGTTGTGTATACGTTGAAAGAATACAATGAAAACCTAAATAGTACCGGCATATCCCGCATCTTAATGCTACATTCAGAAAAAGGCCCTGTTTGGAATATCTATTGGAATGAGCTGTTTCCATGACCCCTATCAAATTTGGAATTTTGTCATATTCAGAATAATGATGGAATATTGGTGTGCATGTAAACACACCCAATGTAGAGAAGCTGAATCACAATATGACTAAGAACAGCAAAAGAACAGACTCACAATATGGCGATAAGTTAATAAGAAGTGTTCACCAGTTTCAGAGAAACTTACCACAGTTTGTTTTTTAGATTTGATGTGGGGGTGTTTTCAAATCATTTTGCAGCTCTGTTATATTAAACAATATTTGAAAAAATCTAATAAACCAACTGATAAAACCCTCAGCAAGAATATCACATTCTCATCCCACCATGCCAGCTGTTAGTGGGCTTGTCCCAGAGGTCAAATTATCATCGGGGTCTGTCTGCGGGGCTCTCAACAACCCGACTATGGTTGAGAGAAATCACGCATCTCCAAGCAGCATGGGTGAAACTGTCAATTGCTGCGGCTGGAGAGGCACTGCAGTTGTCCCCACCGTCTGTCCCGCTCCATCTCGCGCTCCATCAGAGGCTCACCCTCACACACATACCCCCCCTCCCACAGCTCTACGAATCAGCAGATCTGTAACCTGTCTGCGGTGATGAATAGAGGGCGTCTGCAGCCGTGGCTGCCACCGCAGGCACAGATGGATAATAGTGGGCTGTTAAAGTGCTTCCTGCGCTACAGTGGCCGACATAGTCAAGGCGAGCTGCAGTGGCCAGTGTTCCTGTTTTATTTGTCTCTTTTTTTAAGTCATGTTGGCATTGGCAGGCACTGAAACACAGGCAGAGCACCAGGTGCGACAAGTCAGAAATTTAGACAATTAGGTAGCAACAGCGACAATTTTTTCCTCCTTACCTCCCACATGCAGCACAACATTTTCCTTTTTTATGTCAAAACATTTTTGAAATATTAAGCACTTGTATGTTTCAACAGCTCTGTAACCAGCAACTGCTGACACAATGTGTCAAACTGCAGCACAGGCTGTCTATGTAATTCACTTTTGTGTGGCACTATATAAAGTAATTGCATAGCTAATTGCAGGTCTAATTGAGAAGTATTCAGAATTAATTATAAACTGTTCTCCCAGATGATGAAAAAAAAAATGGTTCAATTATATACACTTTTAAATCCACCTCTAATCACACCACTTAGCCCCAGTGAGCAGTCAATAAAGAGAAAATGGATGCAGGCAGCTTATCAGTTTTTGCCACATTACTCAAAAATTACTACTCAACTTGTTTTGTTTATGTGTACATACACTCAATGAAATAATGAAACCTTCTTCCTTAATGCTCTGAGAACATCTTAATGGATTTTTTTTTTACTATATTAATGTGCCTCCGCTTCTTTGTAATGTTGATTCTTGGAAAAAAAAAACTGACCTCCTCCCTGCTCTAAATCCTATTCTGCAGCTGTCACAGATATTAGACCTCATAATGACCCTGGGGAGGGATTGAAGCATGTGCAAACATTGGAAAGAACATAAACCATTAGATGCGCTGTTACAGTGTTACACTGAACTGTGTGGTATCCACGGAGAGCTCGGTTACAGCCATGGAGGCATCTAGCTGAGTTAAGCATGAGCCCAAGCCTGCGCATTGGCAGGGTTATTGTTATTAGATTAATACAGCAACTGAAAACACACTTAACTCTTCAGCAACATGGTTATAAATCGTCTGTGTCCAGCAGAGGCTAGCTATGAGCCACACACACACACACACACACACACATCTATAGGAGCCACTGAAAATATCATAAAATGTTTTTTTTAAGATATGGGAGGAGAAAATAAAATGTCATAGAAGCGGAACCTCATTTGCACATTCCCTGCATAAATTGATGTTGTGCCACACTCCTATATTGTTGTTTATCAAACAATGTTGACATTTTGGGATGGATTCAACGTGCCAAAGCTTATTTGCATCGCAGACGTACTGCCGCATTTAATTTTTCTTACAAGAAGAATTCCAGTTCCTTGATGCTGTCTTTTCTCATTATGGATATGAACCTATAAAATCAGTATGGTTCCTCAAGGAACAGTGACGGAAGTACATGTGTTGGAGAGCGTGTTGTTGTTGCAGAGTCCTGACCTTCCAGACAAAGCTGATTAGGAAACGTTGCCCTCCAACCACTGACCTCTTGGCCATCTTAGCTGCTGTAACTTCAGGTAAGATACAATATCTAGGCTGTGGATATTTTTCCCTCTTGCTGTTTCACACAGACAAACAACATAATCCTCCACATTTTTAATTCTCTAATCCACATTAATTACACCAGCGGCATATGAGAAGCTGGTAAAAACTTTATTATTGTGTTAAATTGGCTGTTGAATGTGGCTCCACACCTCTTCCTTATTTGTGTAAAAGGGCAGAAACAACATCAGTGCAGCTTGAGCAGCCGCCGGCCTGGCAAATACTGAAGAAAGTATTTGTCTTAAGTCTACAAGAATCACAAAGTACACTCACATCTTTCTTTTAGGGTAAATGAGCAAATATGCACAAAGAGGGACCACTGATCAAAAATAAATAGATAAGGCCTCCTTGACTCTAGCAGCTGCCTTGAGGGCAGTTCTGCTATTGCGATGCAGTTGAGTATTATATAGCTGTGGTGCACTACAGTAGGTAACAGCTTTCATCAGGGACAAGGGTTCACAAGGGGTCAGATGTGTCAGGTAAGAGGTGGCATATTATACAGTCAGCTGATATGAAAGAAAACACTGGAGGAGCAGCAGCTTGGAGAAAGAAAAAGGTAACAAGATAAGCTGAGGAAGAAAGAAATGGCTGAGCTGAAGTGATGGAGAAGTTGAGCTTTTTATTTCAGTTCTGCAATTTACAAAACAATTCTGTCACTGGTTGATGCTAATTCTGGGTTACATCAACCCGGTTAATTAGTGGAAGTGTAAATCACAAGTTTCATCACAATATTATTATTACTACTGATTAAATTAGCCTCCACTAACATGCATGAAATATGGCTTTGCAACGAAAACTTTTTACACATTTCTTTTTACAGCATTTCTAACCTCACCAATATCAGTCTTAAAGAGCCAGGAGTATTTCTCCCTTTGAAACTGCCTGTTGAAGGTGGGAATTTCACTTCATTATTCTGCATCGCTGTTCTGTATATAAAGTACAATCAAGGAATGGGGGGCAGTGTTGTCTCACCTTTAAGTTGGCAGAGGATGTAGTAACAGCACCAAATCAAAATCTATGTAAAACGGACAGCCAGCAGAGAGGGACCATGGACCACTGCCGGAAGATGTCAAAAGCAGGAAGCAGCAGCTAACTCAAAAGGAAAATACCAATAATGTCCGCACACTGGGAAGACAATGAGGTCAGGGAGCTCCTTACCCTCCAAGCAGAGGACGAGATCAGCCACCATGTAACAGGGACGGTAACTGTTTGTTATTGCCATGTTAATGCAATTGTGTGTTTATAAAGTGCTGTTGATGTTATATGTCACGCTTGAGGCCGACGCTGGTGTGTTATATGTCATGCCCCTCATGCCTCTTTTGTTTCCATAATGCCAGCATGCTCTGTAAAATCAAACACTGGAGCAGCATGATACTGCTGTTGTTTGGTTTGTTAAAAAAAAGCTACAGGGTTTGGTTTTTTGCTTTTTTGGGGGGGATTTTGCCTTTATTTGACCATGCCTTTGTACATGAAATGCCCACACTAACCACTGAGCTACTGGGCACCCCATGAAGAAAAAAGAAATAAAAAAGCACAAGAAAAAGTGGCATAATAAAGAGACGGCCGACACGTCGTCTCGTGTCATCTTGTTTCACGCATGTTTAAATGACAACAAAATGCAGTTTTTTTCCTGCTAGGCCGATGCAATTATAGGCAAAACACTGCAAGCTATAAAGTGCAGGTAGACAGGTTTTTTTTTTTTAACATTTCACCAGATCTAGCTGATTCCCCATTTCCAGCTAAGCTAAAGACAGAAAATTATTGCATTTCCCAAAATGTTGAACTGTTCCTTTAAGTGGAAGAAACGATAGCAGCACTGCCCTTGAGGCTCATAATCCAAATTGTTCCAGTAGAGCTGCCTGATGTCATTGGGACGCTCCGAGGGACACAGCAGCTGTAACCTTCCATCTTCCGAGAGTCACTGTCCAATTGCACAAGAGTAGCTTCAGGAGGCAATAAGTCATCTATCACATCTATTGAACGCTCTCGGTCACCAGTAGGAACTGCAGCAGCATCAATTTAAGTTAGAACCTTTAACAGTGACATTCTCTCCACCCAGAGACTTTGGCCTGTAATAGACAAAAACAATCATTAGACCTTTACAATAAAAAATACTGGAATACTGTAATGTTGTCTGGTTTGAAAATGTGATTAAGCTTGTAAGTTTCCTACTTTAACAGCTTCCTTTACAGGCCAGTCATTGAAAATGCCAATATTTGGATTTTATTTCTACTGGCCTAAACTTTCAAATCTGACACCTTTGAGCTGACTCCAAATCAGTGTTATATTTACAGGCAAACTCAGGGAAGTCTTCCCCCAGTAACTTCACATCTCAGTGATGTGTAGACTTTTGAAAGGATGGAATAAATACTTTCTCATTGGATCAAGGGCAAGATGTGGGAGGTCCATGCATACATTCTACTCTGAAAACATGACACTGGATGGTGATGCACATCAGGAGTCTTGATATTCTTGGAAAAAATAGGAGTTTGACACTAAGAAATCTCAGCATGTGGTCAAGTAATCGTTGACTAACCACTATTGATTTTCAGTCCTGTCAGCCCTCTGCAAATATGGCCATTCTGTGTTACAGTAGACAGTAAATGTTCTACTTTTGCACCCCTGAAAGTAACACAAGTGTTCAGCAAACTTCCTGGAAAACAAAAGATTAAGTTAAAAACAAGAAGTGACAGAGCTTGGCTGAGTGACCTGTATGAACTTTACCTTGGCAGTCTGACAGCGGAGGCAGACGAGGCCTGTCTTGACCTAACCCGTCCATTCTCTGGGGAGTTCCATCTTCAGGACATCCTGCTCACTCTGATGACACGCCTCAGAAATCATCTGTTATTTCCAGCAGTGTGGACACCACTGTATCAGCAAGATGAAGGAAAAATGAGCAAAGAAAGCTTTCATAGCAGTGAGTATGGGTTTCTATGGAATTATTGTAATATAGTAAGGATGTATCAGAACACCCACCAATTTTGTATATGTCTTCTCAGAGGAATGATTCAACATGCTGGGAAACAGGCCTATTTGCTTCTTTGTTTGTTGTTTTGTTTTTGTTTTTTACATCAAGATAGATGAGAAGATCAGTACAACGCTTACATCTGTCCAATGAATATGATGCTAAACTTGGTTAGCTTAGCTTAAAACTGGAAGTGAGGACACAGCCTGGGTGTAGCCTTTATTTAATGTACAGGCATGAGAGTGGTATCAATTTTCTCATCTAGCTCTCTTGAAAAAAGCTTTAAGGTGTCAGAGATTCCCACACATGTCGATTAAAACATCTGCCACCACGTTTTGATTTTCTATTTTTGGAGATGGACCGTTCATTAGGTGTGCTGTTGGAATATATATATACACCGTTCAATTATTTATAGCTCCACATTTTTGCAGCGTGGAGTGTACTCTGGGCACAGATGGAGCGGCAGGACGTCAGCACAGTGAATCAACCATTCACCAACCATTTTGCAAACTGCTGTGGGTGGGAGGCAGGGCAAGGGACACAGACTGCTATATAACACACAGGCAAGAAAATAAAGGAACCAACCGTCATCAGCTACCACCACACAAAGGCTCTAATTCTGTGGGAAACTCTGAAGTGTCACTGCCAAAATGTCAAACTATTCCTTTAAATTTAGGCCAGTCTCTGAACCCAGTGGCCATCTGTCTTACAACGATAAGCCTCCGGGGCAACAGCCGATATTTTAGTAACTCCAGAACAGCCTGCAAAGATCCAGGCCAACACTTCTTCTTCCATTTGTAGCTCATTTTGGCTAATCTCCGTGAAGAGATATTTGAGTTACATGTAGGGATGTGCACGATTAGTTGAACACTCAATTTAAGGTTGCTACCGTCACTTGTCAGCTCTAGGACCCTACAATACCAGAATGACAACACTTCCACTGACTCCTGTGGTGTGCTGAAGTTAAGCCTCACACGCCCTCTAGTGGGGCATGAGGGCATTACCTTTCCGACCAGAAAACCCATTCACTTACAGTATGTCTGACGCGCACTTGCTTGTAAGTTGATGAAAACGGCCTTGTTTTTACTTTTAGGTGTCTTGGTCATATTAAGTCATGCTTTTAAGTTGTTTTTTTTTCAAGATGTAGAGAGTAACATTATGGTAGACAACTGTTTGTTTTTTTTTCCTGTAAACGGGTCACCGATGCTCCTATTACGGTAGATCATGGTAGATTATGCTTTTAGGTTTGCTTGACTTTGGAAACGCACAAGAATTCCTGGTCGGCAGCAACGCAGCAATACTGAAGTTCAGTCAGTTCTTGGTCGGATATGCAACGCGCTGTCCTGCCACTAGAGGGCACATGACCAACTTTCCGCTTGATCAATGTGTGTCGCTACTCTGGTATTGTAGGATCCTAGCCAGCACTAGAGACACTAGTTGATCAAACTTAGCATTTCAACTGCATTTAAAATAGGATAAGGTTATTTTAATAAGTGATTATAGCTGTAGAGATATAGTTATAGTGACATAGCCTAATATAGCCAATATTCTTTTGGACAATGTTTGACCTTATAGATTAAAGTGTGCCCAGTCTTGACTGTTTTCATAGTGTTTTCTTACTTTTAGACTAGTCAACTAGTCTGAGTTAAAAAGTTGGGGCAATTCCTGATCTACATATGAATGCAGGTAATTTAAATATAAAGCCATATTTGCTCCATCTCCACACGGACTCTACCTGCTGCTCAAACATGATTGGTCAATACCTCTCAGACTACAAATGGAAGCCACAATGCTTGGAATACAAAAACATTGTCTCATTGATTCTGTATACATACACAGATATCTGTTTAAAGAGATTAACTAAAGGCTAAATGCACACTGTGCCAACTGTGTTTATATACAAAGCAAAAAATACAGAATAATAAAGGAGAAAATAAAACAGTAAAGATCAGATCTGTATCAGCAGATATTCAGTATTAAGCAGACTGGAGGCAAAAACCTGATCAGGCCATATTTTTGTTGTTATAATAACATCTTTTAGTTACTTCCAGAAAGCTGTGGCATGTAGCCACACTTTTTTTAAGGACACCATCTGATCATCATCCCTCAGTTGAAAACAAACATTGGCCGTTTTTTGGTCTAAAATCTGGCCGTTGGGTTTCTGCATTAAATTTGTGTGCAATGCTATAACACGCATCACATCTGTGAGCATATTTGAATACTGAGGACTCTGACTTATGAGTAATGCATCACCACTAGCACTGCCTTCTCTGTTTAATGAAGTACATTCAATATAATTTTGCCAAAAAGTTATGAATATGAAACACAACCTGTTTGTTGGAGATAAGTTGAGCAGCATTCCTCCAGAAATAAGCATTTTTATTATAAAGTAAATCTATTGCAGTGTATGAAATAAGTATGATTTCACACACACACACACACACACACACACACACACACACACACACACACTACTGCATGCTGTCTGTTGCATTAAATCAAATCAGCGGAGAGAGAGCTCTGGCCTGAATGATTGACAGCTGAGTCCAAATCGATTCTTGTTGAAATCTTGAAACCTTTTCATGCAGCGATGGTTGATTGGACAGCTAAGCTGAGTTATGGAGGTCAGGCAGTTGCTCTAATAAAGCCAAGGTCACGGTTCTTGGTGAAAACATCCAAAATTTAAATCAAACAGCAACATGTCATCCCTTCGTATCTTCAAAACTCAAACTGTATTTCAAGTGAATATTGTATGAGGTCATTCTATGCATCGTGACTTTAATTGCTAATGTCAGGACTAACTGAAGTGAGGATGAGTCAAATTATAACTATATTCCTTAAACTTTTGCATGGAGCTGTCTTGTTGCATGAAGGTACCTACATTTTCTCTGAAGTTTGACCTTGTTAAAAGCAAAATCCCCAGTGAAACAAAATTGACCGGATGGGCTGCATCAGGAGAAAGGGTTGAACTCCTGGAAAAAACAGTTTTCTCTGCTATTTAATATTTTACGAGTGTATTTTAACTGTGTTTGTGCTCGGAAAACATAGGCAATAAGAATGCATTATTCAAGAAGGTTTCCATGTTTGTTTTCTGAATTTCTGTCAGTAGTCATTAGTCTTCATTTATTCTCCTCTCCTGGTCCCCCGGAGCAAAAAAAGCTCAGGAATATGACCCCCACAGCGTGTGACTCACAGAGCACACAAAGGCCATCACTGAAGTAAATATCCACTCTTACTTACTGCCAGATCTTTTTTCTTTTTTTTTTACATGGCTGCGTTGACTCGGATGCTCGACACAGTAGGTGAATTTCTGGGCAAAGTACCAGGACTCTGTGGAGAATGTCACCACATTTAGATGCAGCCAAATCAGTCTATTGTTTGCTTTTATACTTTAAGCCACTAATGTTTGTTATTAGAATTCACAAAAGGTCATGAAGTAGCACAATCAATGTTGGCATTTTTCGTTTATGCATTAATGCAGACAAACAATAAAGACCTTTTTCGTGGCAGACGTTTTGACTTGTTGTGGCAGGGAAAGCACAAGTGTAATTAATAACACTCATTACGACTGTGTTTAAAGGTCCAGTGTGCAGCAGATAGGGTGATGTATTGGCAGAAATGGAATACAATATTATTAGTATATTTTCTGAAAATAAGAATGGTTGTGTTTTTGTTACCTTAGAATGAGCTGTTATATCCACGTATGGAGCTGGTCCTCATCCACAGTGATCACCATGTTGCACCTTCAGGTCTACAGTAGCTCAGAACAGATAAACCAAACACTGGCTCCAGATGGGGTCGTTTGTGCTTTCACAACCACCACCATAGTTAGCAGCTCCTCCAAGACAACAGCATCTGAAAAACATTGATATTTTAACGTGAAACTGCTTTATTCAGTGTTTTTACCGGTTTAAATCACCTGGTCTGAGACCTCTGCGCATAATACAGCTCCTGGTAAAAACCTCCCGAACATCTGGATCAGAAATTAAGTGAGCACCAGTGTTGGGAGGTAACACTTACTAGTAACTTGCTATAGTGACAAAATTACTTTTTATATGTAATTACTAAAAAAAAACTTAAGTGATTATATTACAGTTATCCCAAAAACAAATAACTCATTTCAACAGTGTTTTTGTTATCACATCACTACTGACTTGAAATATAACAATCACATCGGTGGATTCATTTTAATGTAATCGTCATGCTGTGCATGCATGTCACAAAGCAGCAAGCTAGTTTGGAAGATGGAAAACACTTACTTTAGCGGCTGGAAATATTCCCATTACTTTGAGATTGTCGGGAGGAAAGATGACATAAACACTGTTGCTGCAGGAAGGCCTGGTGGCACTAACACCCACTGCAAAAAACACACCCTCAGTCCTCCAGTCTGAAACACCTACTACGACCAACAGCACAACATCATAAAGCTCCAGGAAATACATCCCACCAGAGGTGAGCCCTCCTCGTCTACAGAGGATGGCTGTAGCCTCACAGTGGCTAAACAACCAAAACTGGACTTTAATCGTGGACAGCTGCAGGCTACAAAGAAGTAATGAAGCTTGTGGCTGGACTCTGTCTGTTAGACAGAGTCTTGAGAAAATACTGGACACAGACAAGAGAAGACCCTCAAGTAAAAAAAAAAAAAAAAAAAAAAAATGCCTTTAGCTTCAGGAGCTGCCAATTACCCTGATATCCACACAGAGGCACACATAAGGAGTCTTTTGTGTGGGATAACAGAGCAGTAATATAAAAAGTAGTGTAAGTTTGACGAATTACTATTAGCAGGGAGTAACAAGTAAAGTCATAATATTACTTTGGAAAATACTATTGAGTTATTAGTAATATATTACATTTTTTATAGTAATGAGCCCGACACTGGTGAGCACACATTAGCAGGTGCTGGCCTAGCAGGTCGTTTAATCACCTGGTCCGTTTGTTCTGGGGAGGTATAGACCTCTGCGGATAACTCTGCGTTCTGTAAAAACCTCCTGATCAATGAACACTGGAGGAATTCTAGCCAGGCGAAGTTTCCAGCTGGTTGCAATCTGCAATCCTCACCACTAGATGCCACTAAATCCCTCTAAATCCTACACACTGGACCTTTAATGGGTAGTTGCTTTGGTAGTCTAAATGCTGGCTCCAGTGGTGTAAGGTAGCTACAACAGGCCAGAGTGCACACTAGTTAATGGTTACAAATCACACACACACACACACACACACACCATTGGGCGTAACTATACCATATATAATAATAATAATAATAATAATAACATGTGTGACTATTATCATATCTAACTTGCTATCCTAACGCCAGGGACCCACCGCCCGCGGAAGCGCTGCGAATAGCCTTGAAGCGCCGAGAAGCAAAGCCAGTTTCCTTTCGGTGCCCATGTTAACCGATTGTGTAATCCACACCGGCCGCGCCGCACAGCTCCGAGGCTGGCCCTGCAGCGATCATTTCCGCGTCTGGTCTATTTTCTGCACGAGCCGCAAGCGAATGTGTCAAGCCGGGCAGGAAGTCAAACAAAGGAATAACAACAGCATCCGGTCAATTTTCAGAATAAAACAAATTTCAAAATAAAAAAACCCCGTTTGACATATGCAATGTATGTGTGTGTGTGTTTATATACATACTATACTCATTACTAAGAAGTGCACATACATGTACAGTAGTTAGGAAAACATGGCGCATAATTTTATGAGGTTATTTACTTACCCATGATGGAAAAACAGCCCCAAATGTGACGGAGACAACAGCTGGGAACAGAAGCGCTTGTCGACCGGCATGAAATGCCACTTCTGATGTGAACGGAAATGCTCCGGCTTGCGGGAGAATTTCAGTGCGCTGCGCTTCACAGCACTTCGTTGGCAGTGTGGCCCTGGCGTAACGTTACCTTCTGCGTGGCTGTTGTCACACCACTGAGGGCAGCATCAGTGCTGCATTGCTGCTTGGAGGGGGGTCGTCCTTCAGCTTGCAACTTTTCTTAAAAAACAAGTGCCAAGTGATCATTCATACATATATACAGTACTCCAATGGGATAACAATTAATCCTGGGGATCAAGTGATTGATTATCCAAAATAATAACACGGAAAGATTGTACCTGTGATAGGCCATCCCAGGCTTACAACAGAGGTCTCCTCTATGAACTGGGTTTAGTTAAATTGAAAAAAATGAGTTCTGTGTTTACAGGTATACAAATAATGACCCCTAATAGGTTGTAATTACATAATGAAGCAAACAACATTGCAACTATTGAAAACTTTAAAACGTCAATCACTGATAACAGGTGATCAATCATGAAAAAGGACAAAGTTATCAAATAAAACAGGCACATTGAGCTGGAGGTAATGAAAGGGAACAAAATTTATGTTTCCTAAATTATATTTAAAAGAGTGCAAACCCCACTGTGTGCTGATAAGTACTCACTGCATGTTTCTTAAAGTCTGCTTTTAAAGCCCTAATAGCTCTAAGACTAAAGTACTTCGTTCATTCATTTTGAGCTTATCTCCGGTTCATATTCACTTAAGCAGCCTGTCAAACTCAATCTGAATCAAACAGCAACACAGTCTTTGGCTGTTTGCCTGCTTTTACTGAAGGGCAAATTAAACCTGTCATGGCCAGTGAGATGCATCTCGTACCTGTGTGATTCCCTCAGAAAAAAAAGCTTTAAATTAGCCATGTTTACAAATCAAGGGCTGTCAAGGTGATTAATTACCACCTCCATTCCCAGATAATATCATGCGACATCTGCCCTCTCCCTTCCTCTGAAGTGGTGGCAGAGATCACTCGTCCTCTTGATTAATTAAAAGAGCCCCATGGGTTAACATTTGCAGGGAAACCTTTATAGCCAGGCAGCTTAATTCTTCAACCTGCCCTTGAAACACACACCCCCACACAGACACAAGTCCGGGGAGAATGCATGAGAAGACGGAGAAAAGATGCAGGGGTGAGGTGTTATGTCAGATTTGACAGCTGACTCCAGGAGCTGCATTAGAGGCAGACAGGACACAACGACTAATAATATCACTTTGATCTTCTCGTCCCTGAGGTTTGCGTAAAGCGCAGAGAATAGTAAGATAATGACTCGCTCTCTCAGGAATAGAAATAAAAGATAAGGGGAAACAATCTGTCGAGCAGATATGGCTCGTCCCTTTCAATTGCAACAGCAGCAATCTGGGTACCTACTGGCTTTCAGGGGATGATGACTTAGCCTCTGGAGGCAACGGACAATATTTCAGGGTTCTGGTGTGGCCAGAAGATATCTGGGCCAACACTTCCTCCATCCACCGATCCTTGTTTGCAGTTACATTAGCAACACAACCGAAGAAGTTTAGAGACAGCTAATTGCTAGAGACAGATATTTGCATATGAATGCAGATAAATACATTTCAAAAGCAAACTAATAAAGAGCTAAATCATCATCAGATGATAGCTCTGAGCTCCGAGATGTCATTTCTGTCTCTTTCATTCTCCACACATGAACTGTTTACTTACTAAGCAAAGCCCACTCTGACATGATTAGTCAATACTACTCGGACTGCAAGCAGAAACCAGAATGCTTCCGCACCTGTTGTTACAATGATAGCATGAATACATTATTTTTTACTCCACAAGATTTATTTGACAGGTAAAGTTATTAGTTTAAGGCAGATGATGATTACACAGACAAAACATATGCATACTTAATAACTGCCATACAGAAAAATAAATGTCTAAGTTATTTCTAAGTACAAATCCTTCAAACCAAAGTTCATGTCAACAAATGTAAAAAAACCCAAAACTTAGATTTATTGTGTGGTATTGAAGATTAAAGAAGCTTGCTGCACGACAATAAGGTTGAAACAGGTTAAAATAATTTATACTGGCAGATTTAAAATAACTATTTAAAATGAAATAAAATAAAGGACAAAACTGATGATAAGGATATTTATGAGGTGCATAGAAATGGTTAAATCATTATTTAAAGAAGATACAAAGCCATGAAATTCCCAGCATAGCTGTATCCACCTTTAACCTGAGCAGGAATCTAATTAACCACAGTAATTGAACACCTGTGTAGGTGTGCAGGGCCTTTAATATGTCGGCAGTGTTTTATTTAAAGGCCCTGCACATTGATGGTAAACCTACATAGGGTTTTTTTTCAGACTTTTTTAGTTGTTAATTATGTCAGTGACTGTTTCCATCGTAATAGCCATTTCTTAAAGGGGAACTAATTCTTAAAGGGGAACTAATGTTCTTAAAGGGGAACTAATGTGCAAGGAGAAATGAAGAGAAATGTCTGTGTTTACCTTTAGCTGGATTCGGACATGTTCCTCTGCCTGTTGCAATTTTAGTGGGAACTGCCCATTGGTTCGAAAGCCCATTGGTTCGACATCCCATTGTTCCGACCATATTAAACTCATTGTTCCAAAGTCCGTTCCGAAATCATCATGATGCCCTGTGGTTAAGGTCTGGTTAGGTTTAGGCACAAAAACCACTTGGTTAGGGTCAGGAAAAGATCATGGTGTGGGTTAAAATGAAAAAGAAAGTGACAAACACATAAGCCGTGAGCCTGCTCCGCCTCAAGCCGGTCGCGGCGCACCATACGCCCGCCGCGAGCCGTTCAGCACCGCGGACAGTCGGACTAATAGGATGTCGAACCAATGGGCTGTCAAACCAATTACATGGACCCATTTTAGTATATGTGCTACCGAAGTAACACTGCTCCCTCTCTCTCCTCGTCCGCTCTTCAGTTTCAATGAGCTCTGCATCTGTGTACGTCTGTTTACTCCGTGTTCAAATAAATGCGGTCCATCCAGATCCAGTTGGTCAAAATCGGGTAAAAAATGTTTGTTGTGGCAGAGAGTTAAAGTCTGGCTCTGAAATCTCACGTCTTGCAAGATTCTACTTCTTCTTTGGTGTTTTACTATACAGTCTATGGTGTTTTACAGCAGTCTCGTGAGCACGGAATACAGGGACGTACACGGACGCACAAGGATGCAGAGCTCATTGAAGAGGGACGAGGAGAGAGAGGGAGCAGGCAGAGGAAGTGTTTTGAATTGCCACAACAAACATGTCCGATTCCAGCTAAAGGTAAAGACAGACGTTCATTTCTCCTTTCCGTTATGTTGTCGGAAAAAAATGCACTTTTAGTGGACGTATTTTGACATTGTGTAACGCTGTCTGAGTGCCCTATTATTTAATGTAGCGCACGTTCACCGGCTGCAGGCAGGTCAGCCCTAGCTTGGTATTGGAGAAATGTCAAGTATTGAACATCCTATCACTCATTTAGACAAAAGGGCCCAGGTTGAAAAAAACGTTAGTTCCCCTTTAAGCTTCATAAAGAGTAGTAAACTGAGATTTCAGACATTCAGGTATCATCATTCTACATCACTTAGCCTCACATTGTGCTCTTCTCATAAATAGGGAGTAGTTTAAGACACTGCCATGGATCGACTGACCCTGACTTTAATTTCAGCTTTGTTTGACATGTTAAGGTGGGACAAAATTACACCTTCATTACTCTTGTAAAACTGTCCAGTGACCTCAAGTAATTCCCAGCATAGCTGCGCCCACCTTCAACCTAAGAATTAATTTACTAATTATTGTAATTTAATTTACCTTTTTATAATTGAAAACACAAGTGTAGCTGTGCAGAATCATGAATGTATAATTAACAATGATCCATTTAGACATAGAGATAAGAATACAACATTCTGAAGGTGTGTTCAGACCAAACACAAAATGACAATGCAAATCAATGCAAAGACGCAAATAGACACCAGTATGCCATCTGATGTGAATGGACACAAAAAAAGCCTCTGCTGGAGTTAAAATGTTTCACCTTGAACAAAAAAATTGGCATGACACTATGTTGCAAAAGCATGTCAGTGTTGAGATCCTGATGTCACGAAGAACCAGAAATGGAGGACAAACCTTTGTTGCTGTCTGCAGATGCAGTTCTATGGCTGAACGTCACAAGGCCACTGCACGGACACAGAACAGAAGAGGAGAGGGTGTAACGCAGGAGTGTTAAAAAGTTAAAATGATTAAAAAGGTGTATGTGAAATTTAAAATCAGGCGAGAGAGCAGTTGTTTAAAACCAAGAAACCACAGATGTATTAACAGATATACACTGATATTTATTCCCAGAATAAAATCAGGTTAAAACCACAGGTGAAAAGTCCATAAAAAATGATAAGACCTGAGAGCTAATAAAAGGGGGGCTGAAAGGCTAAAATGAGGAAAGCTAAAACTAAGGGGCGATAAAAGTCCAATAAAACAATTCGGGGGCTTATCTGTAGGGGGAAGGCGACCACACGTCTGGATGCTTGGCACTCTTGGGACCACTGTACTGACCGAGTCTCTGTCCGTTTGTCAGTAGGGGCACCTGCCAACAGTGCATTCAGGGGACGTGCGATTTTTGCGAACCCAGCTACAAAACGTCTGTAGTAGCCAGCTAGTCCTAATAAGGCT